GTTTAAGTTGGAAAGGACCCTGAAGATCATCGAGTTCCAACCCCCCTGCCATAGAACAGACTGCTGTTAAGAGGACAACTGAAGGATCTATTGTTAATTGCCTTTGTGCAGAGTAAGGGATGGGTGGAAGGGGCTGCCACTGCTTGGATTAGAGTCTCTCTGTCCCCATGTAGGGTGGGAACAGTTTGTGTGCGTCTCTCTGGTGTTGCATTATAGCAAGGTCTTTTTTCCCATTCCGGCCTGTAAACGATCCAAAGTGTGTTGGTTCACACGATCCAGCCTTCAAAGTAGGTTCATCGTGGCCTTCCCTGAAATCTCTTCTCTCCTTAGAACTACCTTTTCCAGCTGCTGCAGGGCGTGAGCTTCTGCCACTCGCACAGAGTCATCCACAGGGACTTGAAGCCTCAGAACTTGCTGATTAATGAAGCGGGAGCAATCAAGCTGGCTGATTTTGGACTGGCAAGATCTTTTGGAGTCCCTCTGCGCACATACACTCACGAGGTATTGTTGAGACTCCTTGCCACCTGAGAGTGGGGTACACAACCCATAGTTGGGTGAACAGCAGCAGCAGCACAAGTTACTCATTCATAGCTGCGGCACAGCTGTGCCCAGGCACATGCTCTTAACCCAACCCGCAGCTAAGGGCTTACCTCATGTCACCACAAAGTGTGCTGACTGCTTCTACCCTAGCTTGCCTGCAAGCTGGGTTCCACCGTCTCTGCATTGGGTATATTTATTTCTTCCAGCGCGTCCTGTTAAAGAATAATCTGTTAATCCCCATCTTGCTGTCACTAAGGCGTTTGTTAATTGAGCATGGCCGTGGCACACTGATTTGTACAGTCGCTGCATTACAGCTGAGGAGAGGGGATCCCAGGCCTCTAGTTTCACCCAGGGAAACTAGACAAATCTTGTTTGTTGGTTCCTTGCCAGGTGGTGACTCTGTGGTACCGAGCCCCTGAAATACTGCTGGGATGCAAATACTATTCGACTGCTGTGGACGTCTGGAGCATCGGCTGCATCTTTGCAGAAATGGTAGAATGGGTTTAAATAGTCTCTTTAATGAGCAGGGAGGATGCAGCTGCAGTGGGAAGTGGGGAAGGAGGGACACGACGCAGAACATCTGTAATACTGCGGTCCTACCCTGTGCTGGGGTGTGTATTATAGGAAGTCCACCCTGGGGGCTAGCTGATCCGTAGCTGTGGGCTCCAAAGGAAATCTGCCACTGTCGGGGGCCTGGGAGAAGGCAAAGAAGCCTCTGTAGTCCAGCTGCAGTCCCGGGTATATGGGAATGCAGTGCCTGTCCTTGTGGAAGGGGTAACTTCAGTCCTGTTGCTGGAGCATTTTGATCCTGGGAGGAGATGGCTCTCTTGCAGATGTCCCTGCAGTGGGCTGCAGAGAACTAGCACTTGACAGCATGGCAGAGTAGATCTCCTAGGGGTCCAGACGCCACTTTGAAGAGCTCTTGTTATCCCTGCAGTGTAACAGCACGATCCTCAGCTCCCAAAGCCCCCGAGCTGCAGATCAGCAGAGCCTGGGCGAGTAGGCGGGGAGGGAGCTAGCCTGCAAGTGTGGGTGGTAGGACA